TGTAGTTTCCATTGACAATCTGTGTGAATGAGATCCTTAACTCAATATTAGAGTGTGTTGCAAGGAAGGAGGTTCTGGCTATTAGGTTTGAATGATTAGGAACCCAGTCATCAGCAATGTTAATATCTTTTCCTGATATAACTTTCCACTTGACATTTTGAGAGAGTAATTGTGCTCCCTAGAGGATGCTTTTAAAGCCCCAAGAGCAATGTTGAGGAGGTTGTTGCCGCAGAGAAATACCATTCCCACAATACTTGGTTCTGAACAAGTAAATAACTAATTGATCAATTTACACATTGAGTGGAATAATCACATTGATAGCTTCGCTTTAGTGCATTACATGTTATTATTTTTTATCATTGTTATTAATTTTTTTTTGGGCGAAATGGTAGTGCACTGTAATCTTAATTTGTATAAACTTATAACAATAAATGGAGAAAATAAAAAGGGAAAATGAGGATAATCAGCAAAGCACATATAAGGACAATTTATTGGGTGTGTCTGGGAGCATGGTGTACCTCTTCTTTTTTTGAACATGTAATCTTTATTGTACTTTTTCTCTCATAACCCGTGAAAAATTTATAAACGAATTATAGATAAAATTTATAGTACTCGTCGTGATCTATCTAATAAGATTCAAATCGAATATTTTTTTCGAGCTTAAAAATGATCAAATTTCGATTGTCAGAATAAGATGGATATCTAGTTTTAAAATATGGATAACCTACTTAGTTTAGATTGATATTTTTGTATTGAATATATTTCTTGATCCGTAAAGAATTAAAATCATTTTTTTTTTGGAAAACCATTTTTCAATATGTTAATACTAATTATCCATTTTGTTTATATAGTTTATCCAATCATTTTTTTTCTTTAAAACATGGTTGTCCAATTTGTTCATAGAGATTATCCAATCGTTTTGTATTGGTTATCCAATTATTTTTACTGCTTGTTCAAATAAGATTGTATTACTTGTCTAATCATTTTTTTTTGAGAAAATATTTTTCCAATATAATCGTACTGATTATCCAACTCCTTGATATTGCTTCTCCAGTTTTTTATTTTTTATTTTTTTTTATGAAAATACTTTTCCAATTTTATGTTTGTACTGGTTATCTAAATAATTAGTCATGCTTATCCAACATAATTTTTTTTTATTTTAAAAAAAGATTGTCTAATGTGTTTATAGTGATTATCTAACTGTTTGATACTTATTATCCAACCATTGTTTTCTTTACTTTTTTGAAAATCCTTGTCCAGTTTTTTGTATTGATTATCCAATCGTTTTGTATTGGTTATTCAATCATTTTCACTGCTTATCTAAACAAAATTTCTTTTCTTTTTTTTTTCTTTGGAGAAAATATCTGTACAATACGTTCATACTGATTATCCAACTTCTTGGTGACGGTTATCCAACATTTTTTTTCCTTGATTTTTTATGACAATGATTGTCCAATTTTTTTTGTACTGGTTATCCAACCAGTTTGTACAGTTTTCCCAATTATATTCACTGATTATCCAAATCATTTGTAATGTTTATCCAAATATTTTAATTTATTTTTTATTCTTTTTTTCTTGAAGAGGAGAGAATGTCAAAGAGATTTTAAATCGAGATGCCTACCCATTTGTTTTTTTTTGGTACTTATCCAGTATCTTTCTACTGATTATCCATTATATTTGTACTGCTTATCCAATCATTTATTTTGTAAAAAATGGTTATCCAATGTGTTAATAGTGATTATCCAACTGAATGGTAATACTTATCCAGCCATTTTCTCTCTTCTCCAGCTATTCTTTTCTTTTTACTTATTACCAAAATCCTTGTCCAGTTTGTTTGTATTGACTATCCAACCGTTTTGTGTGAGTTATCAAATTATTTTTTCTGCTTATCCAAAACAGAATTTGTACTGCTTGTACAATGGTTTTTTTTTTTTTTGAGAACATGTGTATCCAATATATATGTTTGTACTGATTATCTAACTTCTTGTTGATGGTTATCCAACATTTTTTTTGCTTTTTTTTTTTTATAAAAATGATTGTCCAATTTTTTTCATACTGATTATCCAAGCAGTTTGTACTTATTATTCAATTATTTTCAATGATTATCCAGATGGCTTGTAATAGTTGTCCAATGTTCTCGTACCGATTATCCAACCAACGGGTTGCACTGTTTCTCCAATTTTTTTTTTCTTTTCTATTTTTTTGAATATCATTGTCCGTATTTTTTAAACTGATTATCCAACCGGTTTGTACTGCTTATCCAATCATTTTTATTGCTTCTCCAAATCGATGTGGCTATCCATTGATTTCCTAGTGTTTATCCAACGTCTTTGTACTAACTATCCAACACAAATACTTTCTTTATTTATGTCCGGAGTATTTTAATTATTTTTATTTTTCGAAAAAAAAACTCAATATTGATCTTATCGGATGGATGTCGTCGAATACTATAAATTTTATGTATAATTCATTTTCTAATTCTTTACGGATTGAGAGATATAAATTTTACAAGAATATTAATATTGATCTTATCGATAGATCTCATCGAACATTATAATTTTCATGTATAACACGTTTTTCTAATTCTTCACGGATCATGAGATATGGTCGTTTAAAAGATTAGAGATGTTTTTTAAAGGTGAGAGAAAAAAGTCACAGGGACTAAATCTAAAAAGTATAAAAAGATTGAAGAAAAGTACAATAAGGACTCTTAGTGCAAAAAATGTCATAAATGTTTCATTACTCATAAAAATATAGTTAGCTTATATTTCATTCGCACCAAAAGAGAGGGGGGAGGGTAGTGAATTATGTATTTATTGTATTACTACAATTTATTATTTACGGTCTACAGCTAGAAAGGAAAAACCCTAATATATATTTATATATATATATATGTATGAATTCTTGGGATTCAATCTCAAAATCAGTTAGTTGTGATCCAAGGATCTTATAGCAATCAGAGTTGTTAATCGAGCTCGATCGATATGGGACAAACTCTAACACCCTCATTCAAGATTACTTAGATTGGAACCAAGTCAATGTTTTTAGGCAAAGCCCGCTAGATTTCGGTGAAACCAAGGCCAAACGTTACTTGGGTCGATACCAAGTCAACGTCGAAACCAAAGAAAGTTAAATAACTATGGCCCAACCTGATAATCATATTTGAACACTTGAATTCTATCTCAAAACCAATTGGTTATGAGATGAATAGTCCAAAAATCTTATATACTGATAGGAGTTATTAACCGAGACTTATGTGTGACAAACTCTATTTGTCATAGTAATCGAAATTTATGCATCACCCACATTTTATTTATTTATATTTACTTATTTATAATTTTACTAATTCTCAGAAGGTTTTTTTTATTTTATTTATTTTATATATGATAAATGGGTGAATCAAGTTTAGATTTTGAATTTGAGATAGGAAAGTAGAGATAAAAAAGTATAGAGAGTCAAGGAGGATCGTCAGCGTAGTTAAAATTATAAAAAAAATAATTAAGACTTACTCATTTCTAATACGCGTGTATTATAACTCCTAAAACAATTACACCATCTTATTGTAAACCCGGTTTACTATACAAATTGTCAATTGTACTTATTTAGGGTCTCATCGTGTTACCAGTTGTTAATATATAACTACTCCAAAACCCTACGGTTGGGTTTGCCCCTTCAAGAAAAAATTAGATGTTTGGCCCAGGCGCCCCTCTACTTTAATTTTGTGTTAATAGATAAATGAATTCTTGATTTGAAAAAAAATAAAATAGCTACACATTTGGTTTTTATCCCTTTTTTAGCCAAAAATAAAATAAAAAATAAAAAAATCATCTGCTAAAGGAGAAAAAATATTGAAAAGTACAATGATGCAGAAATCATACAAAAGAATGTGGAGTAATAAAGGAGATAAGTTTATGGGCAAATTTAAATGCTATTTTAATTTGATTGATAAATGATAAATGTTAGGAGTTAAAATTGTGTAGCTATTTTTGTAAAGTAGTTTTTGTTTCTTCAGATAAGAATTTTGTTTTTCTTTTAAAAAGGGATGACACGTGGCAGAATGGTTAATGCAATATGGTGCATTTGGAGCCAAAAATTTTTAATAAGAAGTTGTCACATCAATATCATGTATTTTGCTTTAATAGGGTAAAAGGGATATCAAGAACGAAAAAAAAGAGGTGGCCAGAAGTGGTACTTCACAAAAACCTTTGTTCTTCCAACTGAGAAAGGTGAGACATTAATTCATCATAAAAACCTTTGTTCTTCCAACTAGCTTTCTTTCAGATTTAATCGAAAGATATAGAACTTGATTTCTGGATTTATTATTCACTCGAAGAACATTAGGGCTTCGTGCCTGTCTTACAATCACCTTTTAAATCAGTCTCCGCTTATCAAACTTTTGCCTTTAATTTGTAGATTGAGTTGGATAATTTTGTACGGGAGACGAGTCATGCACTGTTGAATATTTTGTGTTTTTCGGATTTTTTATGATTTAGTTCCAAATTTCAAAAAATAAATATTGTTAAAATAACTAAAATAGTTTAAAAAACATAACTCTTTTATATTTAGATATGCAAAGATTTGTACATAAGCTTCTCCTGTTTTGATTAAAGAAGTTCGATTCTTCTTTGAATTTTATCAGTACGCATTCATGTTTTTACCTCGCAGTAATTGTTGTTTCAAAAAATTAAATCTTCTTTTACTAATTTGTGCAATTGGAAACCATTAGTGAATTCTCTTGAAAAACTTTTGCTCAAGGGCCGTGAGAGAGGGCTTAATAATTAATAAAAGAGATACTAATAATACTTTACGAAAGCATAAGGTTCAAAGGGTATTTTTTTAATCTCATTTTATCTTTTATTTATTCAAACTAGCTTGAGCTGTACTTGAATTCGAAAATACAATGAGGAGTTCATGTGAGTTGCTCAAGTGAAAACAAGAATTATACTTTAGCTAGCCCTTCGGAGAGTTTTTCCAAGTAATCGAATTATAGAGTATAAATCATGTCTTGTGGTAGTGATAAGAAGAGTTCAGCTCTAGGTGATTTTGGGTTTGATTCTCTCCAAGAGTATGGAAAGAGCGATTTCAGGGAAGTTCTTGAACAAATGTTATGTAATAGGTTATGTCACTAATTTCAGGGTCGCATGTTTGTTACATAAAATATAAACCATCACATGATTTCGACATACTTATAATTGTGTGTACTGTTTTTACTAATAATTCATTTGCAATTGCTCACAGCTTGCCTCGCACCACTTTCATAAATATGGACTCACTTCGCCAGCAAGACTACGCTCGATACAAGAAGATAAAAAACTGGATCCGCCACCAAAATGTCACTCTAGTGACATTGGCAAATCAGATTATCTTAGCGGAGGCTAAAGACTATAGCAATTTCGTGTTCTCACCGACGTCCATCAACCTTGTATTGAGCCTTATCGCAGAAGGATCCAAAGGCTCTATTCAAGAGCAGCTCCTGAGTTATTTCAACTCTAATTTAGGCTTCTCTGCTCGTCACTGACGGTAGCCCTTTAGGTGGTCCTCGTTTGTCCTTTGCTAATGGAATTTGGCTTGATCAATCTCTGTCTTTTAAACAAGATTTCAGGTCAAGCGCGGAGAATGTCTACAAAGCTCATTGCTCTCAAGTTGATTTCCAAAACAAGGTTAGTTAATGTTGAGAGTCATGTAGTAAGGATTATGAATCTTACATCGGAGGTATGAGTACATGTGAATCAATTAATAAGTAAAGTGATCTCAGAACCCATTAGCTTGAGTTTTTGAGTTCAGATGGGTCTTATCTTACTTATTGGGCTCCATGTCGGATTTTATCCTCTGGATAAATTCCCAACAGTGGTATCAGAGCCAGGTTGGGCCAAGTGGGTGGGTGATTTAACCCAAATTATCTCGGTTGATTTGACTGAACCCAGAAAGTAAAAAACCCATTACGAGCGGAAACGTAGGGATGGGCAGTCCAGTTACTCAGTTGGAGTACAGATTTGGACTTGTCAAGATAATTTGGAAGCCCGATGTGGAGATTGCCCATGACGGAGGAGAATGTTGAGAGTCATGTAGCAAGGACTATGAATCCCACATCGGAGGCATGAGGACATGTGAATCAGTTAATCAGTAAGGTGGTCTCAGAACCCATTAACTTGAGTTTTTGAGTTCATTTGAGTCTTATCTTACTTATTGGACTCCATATCAGGTTTTCTCCTCTGGATAAATCCCCAACAGTTAAGTAGGTTTTTTATTGTTCAGTTTCGAATTTAGTTGGTTTTAATAAGCTCAGCTGGTACTTATCAAACACATTTTAGTTAATTCCATGACATGCATGCTTTCTTTTATCTTTTTCTTTTCCCCTTTTTTAGGTTTGGATTGAGTAATATAGCCTGAAATTAATCAGTTAATATTCTATGTTAGATTTTCGAAGCATATATTTAGATCCATATTCATTACAACTGACATAGATGTTTCGTGTTGATATTATTGTTGCAGCCGGATGAGGTGGCTAATGAACTGAATAAATGGGCAGAAAATGGGACAAATGGTCCTATCAAAGATATTATTCCACCTGGTTCCATTGACAGTTGCACAAGGGTGATCTTTGCAAATGCTCTATATTTCAAAGGAATTTGGAACCATAAGTTTGATCCATCAATGACAAAGGAATACGACTTTCACCTTTTAGATGGCAGCACAGTTAAAGCACCCTTCATGACTAGTTGGTATAAACTACAATACGTAAATGCCGATGAAGATTTCAAAGTGTTGCGGCTTCCTTATGAACAAGGTGATGATGAGAATCGACGCTTCTCCATGTACTTATATCTCCCGAATGCCAAGGATGGTCTGCCGGCTTTGATTGATCAAATTAGTTCTCAAGCTGGATCTTTTGAGCATCATTCAGCATGGAGTAGTGCGGAGTTTGTTGTGAAATTTCTGGTTCCGAAATTCAAGATCATGTATGAGCTTGAGATTTGTGAAACCCTAAAACATATGGGTCTGGCTTTGCCTTATACTATTGAAGACCTCGCAGCCATAGTAGACTCCCCTGTTGGTGATCATCATCGTGCTGTTTCCAGAATTCTCCAGAAATCTTTCGTCGAAGTGAACGAAAAAGGTACAGAAGGTGCTGTCGCGTCTTGTACTTCACCTTCCTATTGTACATCTGAGGAGGATATATCCGTTGTTGTCTTTAAGCATTTACATATAATTGGAATGAGTTTATTTGTTTACTTCAGATGTGTTTGAGTTAATCTTGATGACAAATATATATATATATACATATATATATACATGTGTGTGTGTGTGTGTGTTTCTTTGCATACATCTTAAAGTTGCGGAAACAATTTGTTGGAATAGCTTAAACTTTAGCCCTATGAAGCTTTAATTGTTGGAGAAATTGTAAATAATTTTTAATGTAAATCTTGTTCCAGCCCGATAAAGTGAGGATTGAAGTAAATAGTGGGCTGAAAAAGAAACAAATGGCCTCATCAAAGACCTAATTCCGCCTCGTGAGGTCGATGAAAGCACAAGGTTAATTCTTGCTAATGCGCTGTATTTTAAAGGAGTCTGGGACAAGTAGTTTGATGAATCATTGACAAAAGACCATGACTTCCACCTCTTAAATGGCGACAGCATTAAAACCCCTTTTATGACCAGTAGGAAGAAGCAGCGGATGAGTGCCTATGCGGGTTTCAAAGTATTGGGCCTTATTTACAACTGAGGTCACGAAGAGGGTCAGCGATTCTGCATGTACTTAGTTTTATCTCCCGGATGCAAAGGACGGGCTGCAAGCTTTGGTGGAAAAGATGAGTTCTCAACCTGATTTCATTCAGCGTCATTTTCCATATGAAGAAGTTGATGTTGGCGATTTCCGCATCCCAAAGTTCAAGATCTCATTCGGGTTTGAAGCTTTGACACTTCTACAACAGCTAGGCCTAGTTCTGCCTTTTACCGAAGGCGATCTCACTAAAATGGTTGACTCTGATGATGATGATCTTAAAGTTTCAGCCATTGACGAAGCATGAATCTGCACCGATGTCTCCAGTTGATTGAACCGGCGGCCATGGCAGTATCAAAATCCTAAAACCTGCAAAATAGGGCCTCGGGATCTCCCGATGGTAGACACTCCGATGCTTAAGTCAGTAACAGTAATTGTAATAGGGTATGAATTGTGGTGCATAGAGCTGATGTGAGGGGTTGATCCCTATTTATAGAGTTAGGTTATGAAACTCTTTTTTGGTAGGAAAGTAATTAGGAACTGACCTAGAAGCTTTCGAATAGTTGGTTGGATCGTTTCTCGAACTTGGGCCAGCCACGGTTGAGGGCCGCGTATATTGGACTCGTCAAGTGCCCCTATCAAGCTTATATTTCGAAGTCTGAAGATAGTGTAGGCTTGATAACATGAAGTATAAAGTTTCCTCAAGTTCGAGAAGAACTGACTTGAATCGAGAACCTGCGACAAGTTAGCATCGAAGAGAAATCAAAGGAATGAAAGCATTAGCACGTACCTTGTCGAATGTACACGTCATAAAGGGCGATTGACATTTACGCCAATTTGTAAAGAAAGAAGAGTCATTAGTTCAAGCTTTCGAGTGAGAAATTGATAGGTGATGACCTTAATAATCTGCCCCATGGAGATACCAACACAGATGCCCCATTATTTGAGAAGGAAATAAATGAGTGTAATGGAGATTCCAATTACCCCGAATGCAGAGATGCGTTATCAATAATTTTCGAAGATACAACAACTGTCAGAACAAAGAATCTGTTTGAAGATTGCAATTCACGTCATTGGCCCAGGCATTAGTCAAGAAGGCCTTGCATGATGACTTCCACGTTATGCTCCAAGGAAATATCAAAACAGGTACCCCACTCGTTGAGAGAATCGAGAAAGAAACATAGTGAAGATTCCTACTAGTCTCAAAATTTGTGTAATTAGCAGCGGCTAAGATATATCAACTGTCGAGGTGAGGAGTCTACTGGAGAACTATGACCTGCTTCTGATCGAGAGGTAATAAACCCAAACCTTCGAGAACGTCCATAGAGTAGTGGATCGAGAAACATGAAGATACTCGATGTTGAGGGCATAAGTTTGAGAAGGAATATTGTCTGGGTCGAATTGCACGTCGAGAACTTGCCCCAATATGACCTCCCGTTAAGAAATTCGAAGACTCGAGAAGACCAACTCGAGTGTGATACAACATTAGAGAGTAGAGACTGTCACCATAAGAATCTTCAATTGTCGAGGAGGGACAGAAGAGAGTAGAAGACACCGTAGAAAATGCTGCATATGATCACGTCAATGCAGGGATAGTGAGACTCGAGAAGATTCTCTCGAGTAGAACTCCAGACAAAACTCAAGAATTGTAACCATCCGACCTTGAAGAAGGTACACAAGCATTTAAGCTCATTTATATCCGCCCAACCGACCCGCTTTCTATTTCTCATGTTCCGAGAAATAAAGCATAGAACCCTTAGTCCGGGTTTGAGAAGTATAAATCAGGTTGATATGACAAACCCGAGTAGATGCACAATATCTTTGCTCAGAACTCGAGTAAGAATCGAGAAGGTTTTACTTATTAGTGTGAGAAGAAGCGATGTCCCAGTCCGAGCATTAAGTGAAGACCGTCGAGAATAGTTATAGAAAGAGATCTGTAGACCAGTGGTCATTGAAAAAACGAAAAAAAAACCCTCCCATACACCTCCAAACACCTTACACACTTTCCAGATGCCTTATAATCTCCCATATATAAACGCTCTTCGTTATAGATAACCCCGGAGCCATTACTCATCTCGGAGCCCCCAAGTCTTGGGATGGCGTTCAGCAGACCGAGCCTTTCAGATGAGAGTGTGATTTCCGCTACTCAGTTCGAGGTGGTGCCTGATCAAGGAGCACCCATACTCGTAGGGTTAAGGCAATAAAATGGCATCTATCAGAAAAAGATGGATGGCAACCACCATAATTGAAGAAACAGGCCTATGTTGACAAGGCACAAAGTAAACTCGAGAATATCGAGAATAAAGTCATTTTCTTTCTGAAGCATTGGATGATATAATAGATCGATCCATGAAAGTATACTCGAGAACAAGTCTAGTTCTCATTGAGGTAAAAAACATGTGTGTTTAGGTTCGAGGGATAGTCTACCCCTTGTTCACGAACATGGCAATCTAGGCCTTTCTCAATACCGATGTCGAGTACATAGTTTATGAGTTATTTGTAAAGCGCTTATAATGGTCGGATGTTAAGTACACGGCTCTTTTGCAGGCGATCATGAAGAGGATACCTTTGTATATACGATTCTGAAGAGAATGTCTTTTTAAGGACGATCCTGAAAAGGATATCCTCGAGGAAACTGGATACGAGCTCCTTGAATACAGACGATTCTGAAGAGAACGTCTTTTGAAGGACGATCCTAAAGAGGATATCCATTCAAATGACTAGTCATGTTTAACTGGGTGTAACTGCGTAAATGAGATATAACAGTTCCCATGAGTACTCGAGTGGGTTACCACTATGTGCATTGGACCAGTAGTCTATATCCCGGGTATGAACACTCTAAGCCAGAGCGAGCTTGATGTTGCTACTATCCTCGAGGGATCAGCTGCGAGAGTTACGTATCTCTGCTTATTTTGCCCCAAAGTTCTCGAGGTATGCTTGTCCTATAGCTTAGTCCAATACATTTATTGCAAGTATAATAATAATGACATGTCAACTGAAAGATAGTGAGAAGTTCATCTAATAAGCACATAAAGGCTCTTGGACCTTGCTAATGTATATATTGACTCCTCGATCGAGGATGCATATTCGAAGGGATCATTCGAGTGTACCTTAGTTTCCAGGAAGTATTCCCCTGAACTCTTCGATAGTAATTGCCGAGGACACATTAATCTGATGGTGATGCTTCTTGAGCATAGACACCATGATCAACGAACATGGTCTCTGATCCTGAAAAACACTTACTCAAGCATTTGTAGTTGAATTAATAAGTAATGACATTATATTAATAAGTAATGGCAGTATATTTGACACCATCCTGCGATTACGCACTTCAAAACACATTACCAGAATTATAAATACGAGAGGGGTATTTACCCCCTTTTCAAAAGAAAAAGGAAGACAAAAGTTATTTAATAAGCCTAAGACTAGGCTAAACTTTTGTGCATAAGAAGAAGATAAAGTTGTTTATGTGTATAAGTAGTAATGACATGTTTCACTTTTAACAAGTATGTCTACAATTAGTTGATAATTGTATTACAAGTTCAAGAATAGCATCTTGTGCAATCTGTCTTTTGTTCAAGAATAACAAATAATCATTGCACGTACTCAAGAATATGTTTTAACTTCTCGAAGAAGTTTACAAGATAATCATTGAGATATGTATCCGATGAAACAACCAAGCTGAGTACGTGGCTATTATTCGATGCTCTGAAGGTACAGAAGCTACAGAAGCTAGATTTTGTTAATGAAGAAGGTACAGAATCAGTCCATAATTAAGGTTAATGAAGAAGGTACAGAAGCTACCGCCGCAATTGCGGCTATTATTCGATGCTCTGATTGTGCTGCTCCATGGGTGTATGAGAAACTAGATTTTGTTGCAGACCATCCATTTGTTTTCGCCATTATCGAGCATGTGTCCGGGGCTGTATTGTTCTTCGGCAGTGTTGTTAATCCTGTTGTCTTAAGGAACAACAGCCACTAGAATATTAATTAGGAAATTGAAAAGAACTATTAATTAATTTTATAATTTATATTTCATCTAGAAGCAAGTTGTGTTATTTTTATAATTCAATGTTGATGTTGATGGTTATAGGCAAGAGTCGGCGGTTTGGTGACGCCGTCTGTGATTGGGGTTACGTTGACCATGACCGACCTTTTCAACTTATGCGCTCACGCCAAAGAATAGAAACTAGAATAGGCAAACATCAGTAACTATTATCTAACAACCACTCTCCACGAACATCAGTAACTGTTCAGATGCATCTCTTGCTTGTAAATAACCCAATCCGGTTTGTGATCCTCAAGGCAGCTTGAAGGAAGCAAATAAGCCATCTGATCATCTTCTTTTTCGCAAACATCTTGTTTGTGTTTCATGGTCAGGCAGTAATAATAATGCCTGCCGTGAGCCACCTGCATAAAATAACCAGCCAACATAGCCTTTCTGATATTCAAATAGTAATCAATACTGTTGACCTTGTACTGCATAACTTGAGGTTCCAGCAAGCTGTTGTCTCACATTGTCTGCTAACTTAAGTGATCTGTGATTGATAAATTTCTCGAAACACCATCGCGGATCGCCCTTGTTCTGTTTGTATGCATGGTACACATTCAACAGGGTGAGATGATCACCATCAATGTGACCATAACAAGCCTTTGCTCCATGATCATCTGCTACTTTTTCCGCCTTTGGTACCGAAAGCATAACACATATTGAAAGAATCTCATTGGAGCAGTTGAATTCCGGGATCATTTCACATTTTGCCTGAGCGTCCAAGGGAAATTCACTCATCATTTCACCTGTCTTTGTGAGGCCAAGTAATACAAAACCTCCAAAACTTTCTTCACTGTATCAGGAGTTGGAGGATCCATATAATCGAAATTGTTCAAATCAATCATAGTATCAATCTTCTTCGGAGAAAGAATAGTGCTTGTCATATTTGAGCGTTGTATTTCCGGAATTGTTTGTGACTCAAACTTAGAACTGAAACTTTCCACGGAATAGAGCCTAAAACATTTACCAGGGCGGATCCTTCCAGCCAGACCGGATCGATATTACCTGATTCAGAGGATTGTATACATTGTACTTCGACAAACCGGAATCTACAACATAAACTATTCCATCAATGGTTAATGAAGTTTCTGCAATGTTTGTGGCGACAAAAATCTTCCTACCAGCCGGGCCCCCTTCCATAACCGGGGTTGATTCAGGTTCAAAAATTTTCTGCACCATTTCCAGCGGAAGTGCAGAGAACAGAGGAACTACTTTGATCGGTCCGACCACTTGATCACCTAAATTACTCACTTCCTCTGTTATCTTCTTACATGCATCCTCAATCCCTTCTTCTCAGGTAAGAATTTCTTACCGAGTATATCACCAGGAGACTCAGTAACATGGATCTTTAACACAGTTTGAATTGCTCAACATAATCCATCTCAGGCTTCTGATCAGTAGAATAAAATATCTCCATAGGGTGAATTACTCTACTAGGGATTTTCATGAGTGCTGAACCATCGAAATAGCTCTGAATTAACTCCGCCGCTTCAATAGTATCACTCATAACTACCAGCTTTAAATCTGGTCTTTGTTTCATCACTTTCTTGAGTAAAGCAAACAGAACATCAGTAGCCAGACTTCGTTGATGAGCTTCATCAAGAACCATGACTCTGTATCTCTCCAGATTTGGGTCTTCCATAGCTTCTCTTAAAAGCATACCATCTGTTAAATACTTTAGCACAGTTGTGCTTCATCAACGCGGCTTCAATCCTCAAAACGGATGGTGTAACCGACTTCCTCTCCTATGTTGGCATCCGTTTCCTCAGCAACTCGCCGGGAAACCGACATGGGGTGGCGGCCCTTCGAGGCCGAGTGCAAGAAATCATGAACTTGTTACATTGTTGGTAATCAAGATCGTTGGGGGATAGTCTCAAGTCCTCGTACACAACCATCAAAACTCACACGCTCAACAGGAAACAAGATGAAAGACCAGCAGTTTCATCCTAATCCTAAAATAGAAGTCAACAGCATTTGTACGATTCCAAAAGGAATTCTACAAAAACTAAGAATTTCCTCAAGGTAATTTTATAGACATATAGTGCAAGATTTATATTCGGCAAAGGTGCACTTTTCCCTCCTCCTTTTTCGGGCTGGGGACCGGCTGTGCACAAAACTGCACAGGCGGAGTTAAAAAGTGCTCCCATTACCACAACAAACAGAACATCAGCAGCGTAAACTCAACAGAAGATACCAGAAATAAACATGCCGCCATGAAGTATCTTATTTAAGAATAGAGGAATCGGACTAAACAACCCCCCTTTTAACTCATAGTAGTCTCAGATATATATATAGCAAGCAACAGCTGAAAAGCTAGGTGATGTCAGGTGACAAGAGCAGGAGGAAAACAGCTTCTATCCAAACGAACATATCAGACGTTGCACCAGAACATTACATTTATGATGCGGACAGTTTAAGAGGTTAAAATACACTGCACCAACTCAGGAGATCCAAGCTAGTCTTAATTCACCACTCAGGACAAGTGAAAAGAACTCATTCAAGCAATGAAAGGCAGGGCAATGAGATGCAGGATATCTGAAGAACCATGCACAGGCAGAATCACAAATGACATGCTGGTACAAGGAACTAGTGGCACAGTCGACAAAGAATTCAAACCACTGATGGAAGAGTGAATGTCAGCCACACAATCTCTTGATCCATACGCACATTTCACAAAGACCCAATAATGTAACAGTACTGTTAAGGCTTACAATGTATTTCTTCGCACAGCTAAACAACTCCAAATTACTGTAAATTCATAGCAACACAGAGGTCTCAGTGCTGCAGCGGCAAAATAGCCCCCAACCAAAATAGCAGACTCATCCACAGAAAATCATGAAATACATATGCTCCCGACACATAAAGAGAAAGGGAAGCTCGGACTGGATACACACATGTGGTGCTCATAATCATTCTGATCAGAAAATCAGACAAAATAAGAACTTCCAAAACTTCTCTACCAAGCTGAGTACAAACTTCCAGTTTGATACCAAACAAATCAGAAAAAATAACTTCCAAAACTTCTCTAACAAGATACACCGCAAACACATTGCTTCACAAAGAATTTCCAAACGCCTGTGACATAGCAGGATGAAGGACATTATCAATACAGAACGAGACCACCTACGTGAATAGGAGCAGGAAGTCAGCTTGAAAAATATAAAAAGATGCTCAGAAACATGCCAACAATTCAGCGAATCCAACCTGTACCATAGTCCCTGATGTCCACCAAACTTCTACCATAAAGGCTAATGACACTTGCAGAATACTCATCATCCGATAATATAGTGATCTTCTCCTCATTCTCAAAATCCAAATCAATCTCAATAGGGTAGAAAAATATCAGCTCAAATACAGGAGAAACTTGTCCAATGCACAAATATAAACACTTATACACCATATTAACCAAGACCCAGAGAATCACAAGAAAACTTGAACAATACGTAAAAAAGAGAACAATAATGAGGAAACACCAGTAGCATAATCTGCAACAAGAGAAAACACATAAGAGACTAAAATGAACCGAAACAAGATAGTTGCAAAATCTACAAAGCATCAAATAGGTAGTAGCAAGCAAAAAAGTAAAGATAAAGAGGGAAAGATCTCAAGGAAAAACAAAACTTAGCAGCCAGCTTACCCATCCCCACCCCTTGGAAAACTCAAATATATGGACAATGCCAACAAGGGCTCGGACCAGCAAAGGTGGAAATATTAAAGAAGAGAGTCCTTTGCCGCAACAAAAGTAGACGGTAGACAGAAAAAGCAACAAGACAACAAAAAGGGGAACATTTTGCGATCTCCCTACCCCTCTAATTTAATATAAATAAAACAACAAAAACCATGGCTCTTCTACCCAATCAACGACGCAGAGAAATCTCAAAATCAGAATAGATAACGCGAGCAAGATGCCACTCATACCCAATTAAATAAAGGACATTGCCGTCAACAATTACTGCCAAAGAAGAAAAGCCGTCAACTTTCAGAGATACACAAGGAGAAGAGGAAACATCAGGAGCACACCGTCAACTTATGCAGGCTTGTCTAAAACAACGAAGACCCTTCAAAATAACTCCATAACTTCTGGTAAATCTACATAAAGGAAAAAAGAAACCACCAAAAAAGAAGTCGGAAAATTTACTAAGCTAACCGAAGAAGATCAAAGAGACTTGATAAAGAGAGGAACTCCAGATTTTACTATGTAAAAAAGAACTCCTGGAAAACTAAATCCAGACTGAACGAACAAGCAATCGAAGACCAATCAAGTTCCCATATGCTAAAGGGGGGAAAACTAGAACAACCAGAATGTCAAAAGACTCTTCAACCTGTCTTGCATTGACCAGAATAGAATTAGCAACAGAAAATTGGAAATCCGAACAAGATTTCACAAGTAAACCACTGCCAAATCTGCAAACAGGACATATCCACAAAGTTGTGCAGATATCCCAAAACTCCACCGCACAATCCAAGGCCGCACCTAAGCTCCCCCTCAGAATAAATAAACCACAGCAGCCAACAATTGTATCATATAGAAGGCCAGAACAACAGATGCCGATTTATAAGGATTAAAGAGATCAGGAAAAGAAAATCAGTGAACCATTTATACACCACCGTGTGGAGGACCGGGACTGGACCAAGGAATCAAAACAGCAACATGATAATCTTAGTTTGTGTCTAAGAATAGTCATCGGCAAAATCAAGGAAGAACAAATTAAAGGAGGCAGGTAAAGGGGGAGGAAACTTCCCCAGATGGATGTTATAGTCACAGAGGCAGACATCCAACTACTTAAAACCTTCAAGACTTGTAGAACAAGAGCTTCCACCAATCAATCCAGGACAGACACCAATAACTACAACAGAAACGAGAACAAAACTGAAGAGGAAAGCGCAAGCAAATGGACAATTCCCCCTCAATCAAGACTCCTCATTCCACAAAATCCAGCGAAGAAAGCTGTTCTCCACCCTCAACCACGGGGTCCCTAGAGAAGTAGAATCAAAGTCATAGAAAACACAATCCATCCACCATAACATTCTGTCTTCCCCAAATATTATGAAATAACCAATTAAACAAGGTGAAGGGGAAATAAAGAAAAGAGAACTTCTCCAGTAGCTTCACAAAAAGGCAGTAAATACGTTGCCTCACAATGGAACTTCCACCACACTTTTCCTATAGAGCAAAGGCACACAAACATTTCTAAAATCACGCTACGAGAAGAACCGGGATGGGAGATGATGTAAGAAACTAACGACGTACCACACACGCGCCTGACACACATTTTCTGTCAAATCCAAGCGATCCTCGAAATATGGCTTAAGGAAGCAAGCGAAACAAAAAAAAGGAACCCACCCTTGATCCAGATAAAAAGGAACAAAAAAACACATAAGAAATCTAACGCAGCCACCACTGAACACAAGGAAGAGAAGAAACTGACCCAAATCGTATGATTTACGAAAGAACCACCAAATGAACATTAAGGGAAGGTTTGCAAACATCCAACCAACAGTGGGCTTTAATCAAAATGCACCTACCAAATAACATACGATTAAGACCAAACAACAGACCGGCATTACTGATTAAGCAGGGTAAAAGGAACCAGAATAACCGAGGACAAGCAAATGGACAAGATTCCCCCTGAATCCTTCACAGCCAACGTCCAGAAAAACAAGGGGAATGTATCCACCTTGGAGAGATTAAACCCTTCACCACCACCTTCAACCAAGATGCCTAACAAGAGGACAAGGTATTCATCACTATCCATCAAAATTTAAATACGAAAACACCAATTGAACTGAGAGTGAAGGGAGGAAATAACGAAAGGATTCCCCTCTGATCTAATCCTACGAATACGCAACATCGCACCTCTCAACTTCCATCAAGCCCTTTCCTACAAAAAACAAAGGCACACAAAAAAAAAAGCTGCTAATAAGGCCAAAAGAAGTACCCAGAACTGACAAAGCCGCAAAGATGAAATAAATGAACCACCAAGAAACCCCCTTTGATCCTTGGCCTAATCCTGGTCGATCAACGAGAATAGCACAAGACAAAGCAAGCCATCTAGTAAATTAAACCAAGAGATACCTTAATCCGGTGATATACGAGGAAAACTCAATAATAAGATAACAAAATCAACAGCGGCCCCAAACACAAAAGGAGAAATTGGAAAAACAACGCAAAAGAAAAACCCTAGCAAACAATATTCTCATCCGTAAATTTGTAATAAATATTATCCTAAATTAATCAAAGAAGAAATCAAGGGAAAGAGATGAAAAAGATAAAACCGAAGAGGTACACAGAAACGAAGGAAAGAAAACGGGATAAGAAAAATTTGCCGGGCGTTTCTCTTTATAGGTGATGGATGGGCGAATGTGTGGTTAGGATTGAATGGTGAGGGTTGATCTGGACGGTTCGATCGGGTTCTACCCTTTTCCTTTCCTTGTCGGTTTTGGAATATGTTGACTTTTTTGGAATATCAGCTTACCGAAAGAAAAAGGAAAACGTGCGGTCAACCCAAGCTGACGGCGTTACTGTCACTTTTACTTTCCTCATCCGGTTATAGGTAAGACTAGAGTCGGTGGTTTGGTGACGCCGTCTGTGAATCGAGTTACGTTGACCATGACCCACCGCTTCAACTTCAACTTAGGATTAATAAACAAACAACAGCAAATACAGGAAAGGAAACTTGATCCACTGGAACAGGAATGAAAAACAGAATTAGAAGGTTCACACACCATAATTAGAGAATCTGAAAAAAAAAAAAAAAAAAGAGATATCATTTTGTTTTATTACAATACCAAATAAAGCATGCATGAAACTGAAAATCAATCAACTCGTAGAAATTAAGACAAAACAACAACAACAACAAAAAACCTTCACCTTCCAATAAGGGAACTTAGCAGCTGTGGCATTGCCAATCTCTTGGAAGGAAGAAGAACAACAACATCCAAGCTTTGTAGAACATCTGATTAAGAACCTCCAAAAGCATATCCCAACATCAAGCTTTTGCTTTCTTCTTATAATGATAAACACTCTCAAGGACATGCTTCGCTTGGCAATCCGGGAATTTATTCAGATCAAAATAATGAGGAGCTACATCAAACAACCATTCTCCACGAATATCAGTGACTGTTCGGATAAATGTCTTGCCGGTGGAAACAACACATTCATTGTAAATAACCCAATCCGGTTTGTAATCATCAAGGCAGCTTGAAGGATGCAAATAAGCCACCTGATCATCTTGTTTGTGTTTCATGGTCAGGCAGTAATAATGCCCGGCGCGCCGCTCCAAGTGAGCCACCTGCATAAAATAACCAGCCAGCACAGCCTTTCTGATATTGACGTAGTATTCAACACTGTTGAAATTTGTACTGCATAACCTGAGGTTCAATCTAGCCATGATGCCAGCCAGCTGTTGTCTGATACTGTCTGCTAATTTAAGTGATCTGTGATTGATGGAATTCTCGAAACACCATCGCGGATCGCCCTTGTTCTGCTTGTATGCATGGTACACATTCAACAGTGTGAGATGATCACCATCAATGTGACCAAAACGAGCCCCTGCCTCATGATCATCCGCTACTTTTTCCGCCTTTGGTACTGAAAGCATACCACATATTGAGAGAATCTCACTGGAGCAGTTGAATTCAGGGCTGACCACAAGCATTTTGGACATCTGAGGGTCCAAGGGGAATTCACTCATCATTTCACCTGTCTTTGTGAGGTTTCCCTCACCATCTATGGCACCCAAGTAATACAAAACCTCCAAAGCTTTCTTCACTGCATCAGGAGCCGGAGCATCCATATAATCGAAACTGTTCAAATCAATCATAGTACCAATCTTCTTCAGAGAAAGAATAGTGCTTGTCAGATTTGAGCGTTGTATTTCCGGAATTGTTTGCGACTCAAACGTAGAATCGAAACTTTCCTTGGAATAGAGCCTAAAACATTTTCCAGGCCGCGTCCTTCCAGCAAGTTCAGATCGCCGGCGAGCGCTTGTTTTTGATATTGGAGACACCTTTAAAGACTCCACATGATTCAGAGGATCGTATACATTTTGCTTCGACAAACCGGAATCTACAACATAAACGATTCCATCAATGGTTAACGAAGTTTCTGCAATGTTTGTCGCCACGAAAATCTTCCTACCAGCCGGGCCGCCTTCCGCATCCTGAGGAATTGCAGAGTACAGAGGAACTACTTTGATCGGTCCGGCCACTTGATCACCTAAATTACTCACTTTCTCTGTTATCTTCTTACATGCATCCTCAATCTCTTCTTCTCCAGTAAGAAAAACGAGTATATCACCGGGAGGCTCACAAACATGGATCCTTAACACAGTATGAATTGCAGAGTCAACATAATCCTTCCCGGGCTCATGATCATCAGTAGAATAAAAAATCTCCACAGGGTGAATTACTCTGCCAGGGATTTTCATGAGTGCTGAACCATCAAAATAGCCCTGAATCAACTCAGCAGCTTCAATAGTATCACTCATAACAACCAGCTTCAAATCGGGTCTCTGCTTCATCACTTTCTTGAGTAAAGCAAACAGAACATCAGTTGCCAGACTTCGTTCATGAGCTTCATCAAGAACTATGGCTCTGTATCTCTCCAGATTCCGGTTCGCCATTGCTTCTCTTAAAAGCATACCATCTGTTAAATACTTTAACACAGTTCTTCTTCCATTACTGCTGCTGCAATCCTCAAAACGGATGGTGTAACCGACTTCCTCTCCTACATTGACATCCATTTCCTCGGCAACTCGACGGGAAACCGACATCGCGGCGGCCCGTCGAGGCTGAGTGCAAGCAACCGTGAAATCATCGGGGGATAGAGAATAATGTTCCAAGACAAATTGAGGGATCTGAGTGGTTTTACCGCTGCCAGTTTCACCAGCGAGGATTAGTGTTTGGTTTTGGCTCAACAGCTTCAAGAACTCATCTTTCTGCTGCCAAACAGGGAGACTCGATCTTTTCTCAAGAATTTCGTAATATCTGGTTGAGTAGGGGCGTCCGTTCCATGGATTGATGGTAGACATCATCAGGCTAAAGAATTAAAGGGTTTTGGGTAATTTGATTAATCACGGGAGAAAGATACAATTGGAAGGTTGAAATTTAGAAAGGGGAGTGCTTCTAAATTTATACAGGTTTCATTTTCCTTTTCTACGAGGAAACACGTGCGTGGTGCGTGCGGTCCACGCATGCTGACTGCGTTGACAATGATGACATCCTCTTTGACTGTCTCTTTGCGTGCTGCGCACAAGTGCACACTTTTGTTGACCTCTTTTTCTTGCTTGCTGACCACGAGTGAGGACTGGAAAATGGTAATTTGTAAAAGTGATGTTCACCTACATTTTTTTAACCGTTAAACTGTTTTTCTCCACATTTAAAATGATTGTGCAATTCAGTACTAGTCCCTCCAATTAAATCTGCCACTTATTTAAATCCGGAAAGTACAATGCATGTCTTCAATAAAACAAAATATCTAACTTATTACAAAATATCAAAATATTATAATGGGTTTTACACATGTTTTTTTTTTTTTCAAAATAACAATGGAAAAAATATGTTCTAACGATCCGTGTATAAATGATAAAACGGCTATTTGTGTATGTCAATGCAAAGAGAGAGTTAAGAGTATGTTTGTTTCGTTTTTTTAATATGTGTTTTTTTGTGTTTTTTGTATTGAAAATATAAAAAAGTATGCTGGGATGGGGACAGATATTATTATATTATTCTGAAAGAACCATGAGAAAAAAAGAAACAAACAGAGCCTAAATGTCTATCCTTGAAGAAGTATAACTAGTTGTTACATGTATGGCAACGCAGCTTTATTTGTTTTGTTTTTTAGATGATTTTTTCATAATATTAAAGTAATAAATATCTCATACTAACATACTTTTTTACATTTCCAATACATTTCTAATACAAAAAAATACCTAAAAACACACACACTAAAAAAACGAAACAAACATATACTAATTTTGTTTCAAATCCATGCGGACGACTTTGTAACGTTCACCCAAACACAGTTTTTGGAGGTCCTTCAATGAAATGTGACAAAATGCAAATGGATTTGGAAAGAAGAAATCACGAGTTTGGGTATGGATGATTTGTGAGGTTGCGGATATAATGTTTTCATGTTGGTCTTTTCCCATGTAATTATGCCCACCCTCATTTAGTGGTAGTCATGAAATCTCATTTTCTAATGAAGTTCAACAGGGGAGATGGAAGCCATTGGGTTCTGGCTTCTTTTCATATAAGCATATTAGGCAAAGGCTATTTGCTTTCAGTTTTGAATAATTTATGCTCGGTACTGAGAATTAGTCAGGCTTAAGACAGGTTTTCTTCTCAAAAAAAAAACTGGGCTCATTTAAGAAGCAGAAATTAGCTCAAAATCAAATGGGATTTTCAATCTGAGACCTTAGTAACTACTCCTCGTCCTAGAGAAAGCTGAACAGAGATTTTGCTATTTCAATTATTTTTTTAAAAAAAAAGACAAAAAAGTAAAATTTAGTTTTTTTTTTACTCTGACCGCTACAGTAAATCCTAAATAGTAATTATGTTGTACTTTTAACCTTGGACCCACTGTAACTTGAAAATTTACCGAGTTACAGTAAGTCTCAAAATTCAATTTTTTTTTTTAAAAAAAAAACCAAGATTTTTTTACTCTAACCGTTACGTTACTTTTTTAATTTTAGATTCACTGTAACTTAAAAAATTTACCGAATTACAATAAATAATTCAAAATTCAATTTTTTTTTTTAAAAAAAATGAAAAAGCAAAACAAAAAAATTGACTGCTACAGTAAACCCTTATGTTGCACTTTTAACCTTGGTCCCAATGTGACTTAAAAAATTTGCCGAATTACAATAAATAATTCAAAATTCAACTATAACGGTCAAAGTAAAAAAAAAAAATTGGTTTTACTTTTTTTTTTTTTAAGAAATTAAATTTTAAATTATTTACTGTAACTCGATAAATTTTTTAGGTTACAGTCAACCCAAATTTAAAATTGTAACATAATTACTATTTACTTTGACCTAAGATAAATGATAAATGGATAAATGAAAAACTTAATTTTGAAAATAATGTAAATTTTAAAACTTTAAAATAACATTTTTAATTAATAAATAATATTTTAATAATTAAATAATAAAATACCCTAATTCCGACATGTCAACAACCGGAAACAGTGAAATGGGACCAAAAAAGTTTGAAAACATAATGTTTGAGACTACGATATTGAAATATTAATGTTAGGGCGGACCAAATGTAAAAGACCATTTGTACGTTTTAGTCTCATAACAATATGAATTGGTGTCTCCATTCAGAACAATTTTCTTTCCTTTTTTTTTTTGTTTAACCATTTTATTACTACTCTCGCTGTCCCAAAATTATTGTCCAGTTTGAGATTTCACTTCTAGTACAATTTGAACTAGAAATTAAAACCCAAACTGGACAATAATTATGAAGTGGAAGGAGTTTAATAAAGAAGTCCCGAGTAAAACAGGAAATTATTAACTTCGCACCATAGTCAACTCCATTTATCCATTTAAAACCATTATTTTTACCCCCCATAGAAAAGAGAATTAAGTGTATTCAAATTAACTATAAATTTTTCCGATAACCGTGCTTGGCAATTGTGCATGGCGGAGGAGCAGATGGAGTTGCCTTCCCTGTTGGGAAATCCGTAACTTCTGCAATCCAAGCATTTTCCCTTTGCGATGTTGTAGACATAAATGCATGATTCTCCACAGCTATTTCATTTGGACAGCTTCCAAAGCATTGATCAAAATGCTTCAAAACAAGAAAGAAAAACCGTCTGATATTAGTATAAAATGATGGCCTTGAAAAAATCTCGGTAAGATAAATATAACATTCTGAACACAATAAGTTCATTCAAACGTACCTGAGAAGAGCATAGTACTTAGGGTTATAACAAAAACTAAAAAATCATACACAAATCACTGGAGAACAGATGCAACATATATCCTGAACACTAAACCAAGTCCCATACAACCATCTGATCAAACCCTACCTTTTTAAACAGAAAAAGTTTGTTCTAACGCGGAAATATCAACAAACCAAAACTAACTCGGTTTACTATCAGAACTATACCATAGGCAAGAAAACTATTAGCAATGCAACACGTACCACAGGTCACAAAAATGCTCAATCTCAGGGCAAATAAACAATAAAACCATCATACAAGCACCACTTTCCCTCCTCCTTTACACAGGGGCTTCAGAAAGTGCATATAACTTGCACAGACGGAGTTAAAAAGTGTTTCCAACAAAGAAGTATACTTGAACTTTATCCACAACAGTTATAGATGGCAAAGAGAGAACATACAGGAACCTATTAAACACGTAGACCGAGGTGTGGGGAGAAAGGCTCAGAAAGATAAAGATTGTTGAAGGTGAGAGAAACATCTATTCCCATCGCTATATGAAATCGAATGCACACCTTGTATCTAATGTGCTGGAGCACAGTGGCTCATGCTAGAGTACTTAAGAAGTCATGCCATCAACGCTATAATGCAGTTCCATATTAATTGTCTACAATTTGTTCTACTCAGGAATGAAATTCAAAATGTAGATAAAAGCAAAAGCAGAACCCTCATGTTGTCTGTCAATTTCATCAATACTACAGTTGCAAACAGAAGTCCAAGCAAATCACTTATCTAATACTCCAACCTTGGATGAGATGCACATTTACAAAAAACATACCACCACTTATTTAAGTTGAAAACAAGGGATAAGGAGCTTCCTTCCGGCAATAAAGAAAAAGACACAGTGTGAGATTGCTCTTAGAACTTGAAAAAGAAATTAAAGCACCAGTCAATACCAAGGAAAATAAGCATTAAAAACACTTTTCCCTCCTCCTTGAAGCGGGCTTGGGACCGGCAGTGCATGGAACTGCACAGGCGGAGTTAAAAAGTGTTTTCAACAAATCACAACCCAAGACAACGGATACAGGACATAAATTCTTCAAACGCGGCATGGGGATGCAAGCAAGCAGAAAATATCTCCACAAAAAGATGCAGCAAGCACCAGAAGAAAGCTAACTTCAAAGAGCAAAGAGAGGAGCTGGGAGGAAGTTGAAGAATGATGATTCAAGGAGGTGAAGATTGGCAAAAGAAATCGAACATCCCAAGCTTAACAAGCACCGACGATAAATAAGTGGACAACGTAGTGAGGCTTTAGAAAGCAACAATCACAAAATGCATCTCTTTTAATGACAACATAGCATTCCCAAAATACATTTTCTCTCTAACATAACTTCCTCATGCAACAGTATTTTGCTTGACATAGTGTGCTGCAATTCCAAATAAGTATCCAAGTGCGAGCTAACTCAGTGCTGCAATAACATGAAAAAGCATTTGTTTATCCATCCACTCAATGCTCACAGCCGCAACTTATCTCTAATCAAAGCATGTTTCCCTTATCCAATCCTCCACTACAACACATACGGGCAAAGAGATCTAAAAATCACGGCTAAAAAGATCACTTTTGGCACAGAGAATCTACATCGTAAGAGTTGCAAAATCGAGGCACTTTACAGAAAGATGGCAAGCATCATCCAACGGATCAAATGTTGCTAGGACATTCCACATTACACCAGGTAAGGAAACAAGAGCATTGTTTGATGTGAATTAAAAGCCTTGTCCAAGGGGGTAATCATTAACTTGGTCAACTAGTAACCCAGACAGTTGAACATTTGTAGGAAAGCAATTGAGAAATTAAGAAACTAGTGCAAATCACTTCACTATCTCCAAAACATGTGACATTTGTAACTGGGCAGACAGATATCCCAAAAAAACTTCCACTAATTAGACAGCTTCAAGAAACACCAACCCAAACAGCACTCCAATACTGGACGAGAAAAGAAAACTGGAAAATGCAACCTCCGGATTGCAACACATCACACACTTGCTACATGAGTGACACAAACTGAAATGACACCGACCAACTTCCTTGCATGCCAATTCTTTTACAGTTCCACCAGGGAGAAAAGATCCATGCTCGCTGAATGAATGAGATAAAAAATCTCCCAAAAAAAATCCTCAATTACTCCCCAATTTACAGGTAGGGAAGCACAAAATCGTTATTACTACAGAGTCCACACGGAAAAACAAGAGAATCCAGGACAAACTCCTCAAACCAGCTAAAAAGGAAACCCTTAGATTCCTAGCATATTCAGCGAAACATGGAAATTCGAGCCGACTAATCTTCATGAACAATTGAGCCCATCATAGACAGTTTGTACCTTTTAATGTGGATAACAATGTTAACGACCAAGCAAACCCATCATAAAAAGCACGACAAAAACAAGCTACTTGATTCGCTGCATGAATAGAAGGTTGAACACACATATTACAACCTGAAGAGAATCCAAAAGCTGTGTCATAAGTAGCAAATATGTTAATTTTGTTCATCACAATACCAGTTGCCACATAAAGGTGTTAGTTGATAGCAGACAAGGGAAAAGTAGAGAAAAAGAAAAACGTGTAAGGTAGAAAAAAAGAGTAATGGATGCACAGGGCAAACTAATCAAATTAATAGCATGCAAATACACATTACTAATCAAACAAGCAGGCAGTTAGCACCATAATAGGAAACATTTCTACACTATGCTTTTCGAAAACATCAAAACTACAGGAGCAACCAAAGAAATAAGAAATCAACTGCTTTCCCAGTGCAAAGAAAACCTAGCATTCCACTCATAAACAGTCCATTAAAAAAGAGGACCAAAGAGATAAAAGCCAAAATCTTGCTATAAGATGGATCAATGCCAGGGAAGAAATTTCACAACAATAATTAAGCATAATTAATCATGATAAGTTGGGATTAGAAAAATATAAGCATTCCAAAAAAATATAGAATAGTTCTGCAAAACCGCACTATGAAACTAGCATGACAGGAAAAAAAAAAAAAAAAAGCAAAGCAAGTAAAGAAGACAAAGCAAGAAAAAAAAGAAAAAAAAGAACATAAAGAAACAAGCAGCAGGGTAAGAGAGATACTCTATTTAGTCCACTCCATGTTTCTTCTGTTCTTAATGCAAGCTCATCCACCCAAGTACTAACACAAGTGCATTGATTTAATGACACCATAGGACTACCTCTGGAGAACGTCGACACAGATCCATGCAGAAAGGACCAAGATTAAATATCATAAGGGACCAGGAGAAGTGACAAAACCACTAATTTCTCATACTGGAAGACTGCTCAACAAACCAAGCTTAGTACGTAAGAGCGCTCAAGAACGATCATCCAAGCCGGTTAATAATGACAAAACAATCAACCAGGTAGGTGGACGGAAACCAATATTGCGTAAGACCACTGTAGGAAGAGAAAAGTTTTGCAATCCTTTCAAGTAACAACAGTGAAATTGTCTGCCCCTGTATTATGGTTTTATTTGGTCAATCTAAATAAAAGGAGCAAGAAGGGAACCATACTCCACAAGAAAGGCAGCAACTCGGCAAACATAACAAATTGGCACACATTTTCCCCAAAAAAAAGTAGGATTTAAGGAAAAATTACGAGGAAACCCAAACTTATCATGGTAACGCATAAGAAAGCCAACCTCAACAAGCAAACCTAGGGAACCTAACACGCAGGACAAAGTTATTCACTTATCGGTATACTCCAAAAATATACCTACAAACAAAAAAGGGTGGAAAAGCCATCGAAACAAAGGCAAGAGGTTAATGACTCCATAAAAGTGCTTTGCAGATGATGTCATCAGGCAAGATATCTTCCACCTAGCAAATAAAGTATACAGAAACTAATGATTATATTGTGAAAGACCGAGGCTTGAGTATCAAATAATGGACATTAAAGTTTAAGAGAAAAAGATACGGGAAGAGAAGGAAAAACTAGTACTAAAATCCTCAGATTTCACACTTCCAAAATTCTCGCCTCTAAAAAGTGAAGCACCTGACCCAAGTCCAACGCACAATCTAAAACAAGAAAAAAACAAAAGAGGACCAGGAAAAAGAAGGGTGAAGACTAATAAACCAGCTAAGTACTGCAAAGGAGAAAACCTCAAATATCGGTGCAGTAAAGAATGCAAATCTTCACCCTCACCAAGGGGGATCCTAAAAGAAGAGCCTGTTAGGGAACAAAAACCAGCACGACACAAATAACAACTGCAACTTCAACTTCTGTTCGAATAAAACGAAAGGAGCCAATGATGAGGTGCCCAAAAAGGAGACACATATTAAAAACAAAGTAAACGGTTTAGAAAACCCCCTATCATCAGTTCACCAGGTTAAACTTTCCTGTGGTCAACCTATCCAGCAGACATCAGGTGAACTGCAACCACCACAACAACAAGAGAAAGAGAGCTAGGGTACAAGTTTGATCTAATAAACAAAATTGAACAATTAACCACAGAGAAGGTCAAAGAAAGGGAAGGAAAACCAGGACACCAAATAATTTTTCGCTCAACATCCCTCCCAAGCCAACAGCATGAAGCAAACCTGACGAATGTAAGATATGCAGCATCATGATGTGCCCAAAAAGGCAAACCGAACAAGAGTAACTATTAAAAAAGTTGAGAAAACCCCTCCCAATTCAACAGGCTAAATAGGAAGAACATTGATGTAATGGAACAGAAACGATCACAATTGACCACGGGAAGGGCCAAGAGCAGGAAGATAAACCACGACCACCAGCCCAAAAAGACAGCAGCAAACCAACCCTGACAAATTGAGGACGATAAAGCCAATTATCATGCCCGGAAAGGTAGTTCCAAATAGTAACTTTAAGGAAATATGTTAAGAAAAACCCTTTCAATATATCTTCCTCTGAGATATTGATAATCTTTCGGCAGAATCCCAATATCAATATGAACTACAGCCACAAGAAGAAACAGCCGACTAGGGAAAGAAGATAACAATTAAGCATGAACAAAGTCAAGAATGGGAAGAACAAAACCGTCAACATGGGCACAAAATCCCTCCCTGCTCACCAGCTACGCAGCAGCACAACAAACCCTAAGAACCAATTACAAACATATCATCCATAGATCAAATTGATCGACAAGAACCACCGAAGAAAACCATGATTTAAGATCACAAAAAAAAAGAAAAACAGAAACCGCCAAAAGGTCATGATGATAGAGGCCAAGAACGAGAACGAAGCACGACCAAAATCTTCTTTCTGGAATCCCCGCAAAGCAACAAAAACCTAACAGATGCAAGACACTGCCAATGATGATATGTGCAAAGAGGAAGCAGAACCGAAAGGATTAAACAAGTAAATAGTTAAGAAACCCCCTATCCAATCATCCAATGATTTCGTACGCACTCAGCAGAATCCAAATATCCAGGTGAACTACAGCACAACAGCAAACAAAGAACCATGGAGAAAAACAGTGATCCAGTATAACCAGGAGCGACCATTATAAACCATGGAAAAGGTCAAGAAAGGTAAACCAGGAAGGAGAAACATGAGCCAAACTCCAAGCCAATCTGCCAATAAGCACATGCCAAGCCCTAAACGCATGGAGGACAGAGCTATTGGTAATTACTCCAAGAATAATCCGAACAGGAAAAGGATCAAGAAAAACTTAGTTGAAAAGGAATCTGTGCGTTCATCAGCCAAGATTTTCATCCGTATTGTGTATAAGCCAGTTTGGGATTCAATCCGAAAATCAGCTTGAACTACAACAAGAAACAGCAAACCGGCCAAAGAACATGGATCTGGTACGAAAACGGGCCACAACTAACACAATTATAACCATGAAAAGGGAAAGGGCCAGGAAGAAAAACCGTGGAAAAGCTTCTTTTCAGATCGCCATCCCTTCCAAAACCAGCAGGGCACAAAAGCCTAACAACAGAGGTTATGGCCAATGAATATATGCCCAAAGAAGCAATCAAAACAGGTAAAAGTTACCAAACAAAGAGTTAAGAAACCCCCTATCGATCCATCATGTAAAATCATCATCGATTGCTTCCCCAATCCACCGGCAATATCCAGACAACAGATTAACTCTACATCCACAACAACAACAACAGAGAAAACCACCGCACCGGGAAAAATCCATCCGATCCAACAAATTAAGGAAGAAAGAGATCACAATAAATCACGAAAGAGAGAAAGGCAAAGAAAGCAAGGAAGAACCCGTGATGAAAACTTTTGACACCGCCGGAGATGGCGAACACAGCGACCGGAAACAAAACCCTAACAAATAACAATACAAATCCCCCGGTGAATCGAAACAGCAGAAACAAGAAGAAAAATCAAAACAGAGAGGAGAGAAGAAAAGGAAAACATAGACTCCCTCAAGACGAAGAGAGAAAAAAGAAGTGGATGGGAAAGTTAAAATCAGGGGGTTATATATAGGCCGGGGATAGGTAAATGTGTGGTTAGGATTGAAGGATGGAAAGCAATCTGGACGGTCCAGATAGGTTGTTATCCTTTTCGTTGTCGGTTTTCTATTATTTAATGGATGGATGCGTATTAATAAAGCACAAAAATAGAAACCGCGGCTTTCTTTTTTTTAAAAAAAAAATAATAATAATAATAATAAAAAAATCAACCGGGCCGTGCGAAGCTGTCTGTTTTGGACTTGGCCCCGGTTTGAATTTTTCTGTCAACGGCGGCAACTGGCACGTGTTCCTTGCTTGGCACTCACATAATAAATATAATAACTCAATTGAATTATAACTTCCAGCTCCAATCTTCTTAACATTATAGCTAGGAAGAGAGATATTCATGAGGCACACAGGTCAAGCCCCCTGTGGCTTGTCATGTATGAGCTTATTCTTTTGGTACTAAAAGTAAAAAATAAACTCAGCAAACAGCAATACTACTAACCAATACACAATCACAAACGAGCAGATAATGTCAAATAAGAATGCTCCCAAAATGAGCTTTTTCTAAGTCTGCAAAAATTCATTTAAAACATTCAAAATGGTCTTTTGAAAAGGGAAGACACAAATGACAGAGTCTAATCAGTTTGATCTTCCCAACTAACACCAGTTCACCACCAAACTGGTAAAAATCTATTACAAGAGGGCATATTCCCTTTTTGATCTTGACACTTAATAGTCACAACTCACTTCCAACTAAGCACTCCAACTTCATTCCTAACCTGTCCGTCGTCCAAACAAAATTACAGGCTCCCCCCACCAAATTATATCTCTATCATCAGCATTCCTATGAAGCTTCCGTCTTTGATCAATTCCACAGCTATGTACACCTGAAAAGAGAAAACATATTGGTATCATTTCATCCCCAAATCTGGTACATCTATTAACATCACAGCAACGACAGATATATGCCAGCCAAGGAATAGTCCAGCAGATATATACGCACACGCACGGTGTGTATTAAGAAAATTACCGCCCACAGAAAATGTGGACCATACCCAAATCAGGAATCAGCGAGAAAAATGCTTAATCACTCTAGTTAGTGCAGCGAGAGATGTAAGAAGTGAAAATAACAGTGTAACTTTAAGAAATAAATACACATACCTTATATACAAAAGGGCCCTCGTCCAGATCTACTTTCTATATTAGCATCCATCAGACATAGATGATAGAACTTCATGATCCCTCAGCTAGGCTAATCCACAACTGCAATCCTTCTTCCTTCCAGTCTGGAAGAAACGTCTTCAAAACTTCTGTCTTCATAAGTTATTTACAAATTTTCTTACCTCTTCAGGTGCACAAGAGATGTTCATCCTTAGAAGAGATGGAATTTGCCAAACCATTCATTTTGCCACGTCCAGGATCTGAGACATTACAATTTAGATGCAACCCTGATCCAACATCTGCAGTACATGCGTCATCTGTAGGACTGTTGTTTTCAATCACATGCTCTTTTGAAGGCTGAGGATCCATACCTTCAACAAAAAGCAATATATAAGACACGATGACAATGCAAATTACACTATGTGGCAGAAATTGTAAATTTACCAGCAGCAGTCATTTTTCCGCCAGCGATACGGCCCTTGCATAAAGGCTTTTCCAACATATTATTTCCAGGAAAAAGTACTAGACTCATGTACTTCATCTCCAGCCTTTTAGATTCTTCAAGAGGAACAAAACCAAAAACTTTTGTCCATGTTTCACTAAGTTCTGATACAGCAGGTATAACCAGCTTCTCCACATCAATAGAGCATAGAGCCTGAAAGCATAGGAGAACTGTTACATCCACAGAGCAAAGACACAGTACATTAAGATGCCCTGAGTGACCTGATGGTACAAATCACAAGTGTTATGGTCCTTGGACCTAAAGGACAAAGACAAATGGTACAAATCACAAGTGTTATGGTCCTTGGACCTAAAGGAGAAAGACAAACTGATCATGGCCACGCCAGAACAAACCAGATAAGTAACAGTTCAGAGTATATATATCCTGCATCTCTGAGGATGGGGTCTAAGAAATGAGAGGTAAGGGATGTGATTTGGTAGGATTATTTACCAAAAACAAACAGCTTATTACAGAAAGGAACCTATATGAAGACAGTTCAACCACATCACACCCCTTACCTGTCATTTCTTAAATTGAGAATCCTCATCCTAAAAGAAGCAGTTCACTAATTTCATATTGAAACTTTAATTATGAGTTATCATTGTGATGTTACGTAGATCTGTGAATTGGAAAAAATATGAACTAACACCTGGCACAGAAATTTGCCTGAGGGCACTCAGCTATTTTAAGTTTATGCAGAGCACATATATTTCCTTGACGTAGTGCATGTTCTGAACTATGTTCCTAATGTAGGATGTTTACAGCAGCTGCCACGATGAATAAGTTGTCTATTTCTATCTCAGAATTGGTACAAATATTATTGGTGTTAGAGCTTTAGAGAAACTTTATCCCAACTTCAAGTGGCAGACAGTGCATGAAGTGAAATCTTCTGTACAAAGGGCGAAGTCCACTGAGTTCAACAACTATCATGATAAAAGATAAAAACAGGTATCACAGGATACCTTTCATAAAAGGTAGTTGCAAGCTAAAGAAACGAGGATGTACCACACAACAGGTAATGCTCAGAACTGTTTTGCATTAAGATCCTGAAAAGGAATCTAAAGTTTTTTCTTTCCAACAGTAAATCACTGTCATATTTGCACAGAGAGAGAGACTTTTCCAAAGCAAAACAATCAACAAATAAGTACAAGAGGAAACTAAGATGCTAAAGTATAACCAAAGGTCTTCAACAAAGTTAAACACTAAAAACAAGGAGAAGGTCCTTTATTCATACTTTGACTCCAACCTGACAAAGGCAACCCCAACAACAACCTTATTCAGGAATGGTGAATTGTAATTTACATTTGAACACAATAGAAAAAATAACCTACTTTATGATGAAGTCCTAAATGCATGACAAGATGAAACTTTTGGTTCCATGCGACAAACCCTATCAAGTTCTACAATAATATCCATTAATAATGTAAGCTACAAATAAGATAATATTCCGGGAGAACTAAAAAGAAATTGAGATATTGATGCCTCTATTAATAATCAAGCTAATTCAGGAAAGCAAATCAATGTACCGTTTCGATTGCAGTAAGAAGCAGGCGGGCCATTCCTTTACGCCGATGGCTAAAACGGGTTCCAATGAATGGCATCTCTGCTAGCTTATTCCCATGTACTCTATCATCAAGCAGAAAGTCATGGATGTTTAGAAACACAAACCAAAAGATTAAAGTAAAAATGGGACAAGAAGGTGAAGACACTTAACAACTTGTAAATAGAGAGTCAAGGACACAAATAAATAACATACAGAAGAATATAAAACATCAGTAAAACCAACTGGGCCTTTATTCCACAATGTGACAGCTGCTATGTGGATCATATCTAGCCATAATGTTCTACTATACAAGCATCGATAAACAAAAACAAGAGCTTTCTTGGAGCAACAAATTTTGATGAGTAATAAATTTAATTTCTTAAAACCATTCCACATAAGGCTCCATAAATGAAGAAAGCTAGTGTATCCAGCATTCTGCAAGACAATGTAGAGTCAAATAAAGCCCTAAGCAATAGAATTTTAAACACAATCACAACAGTTAATAAAATCCTTTTTTGGACTATAGACTTTACATCCACACAATGTGATGTTCTCTGAAAACTGGAACCACAGTGACATCATTAAGATTATCAATCAATATACTAAATAGAGGAGTGATCTTTCGAATGACTCCAGTTTCTAACTCAAAAGACTAATTTAGTTACTTCTTTGACAAATTACAGCATGGGAACCAATCTCAGTAAAAAGCAAACCTGCATCCTGACTAACCTCCATTTGCACGTAATAAGTACTAAATGCATGACATTATGTTCATTTTATTCAACCACCTTCTAAACGAAATGAAAGATTACTCCAGAGGAGGATGCCAAGATAATCATATACTTGAACACTTCTAAAAAGAAGCTCATATCACGTCCAACACTCTCAATAAAAATAAAAGAAATTACCAAAAAAAAAATCACGCATGCAACAAAAAATACACGTGATTTACATAACAGGAGATAAACTGATAACTTATTGATGCACATTCAACTTTTTCCTAAAAGATAAGAATTTGTAACTATGGTTGACCATCCTTGGAAATATTTCCAACTAAAGCATCTAGAAGTGTTAACAGAAAGCACTTTTAAGATTTGTATCATGATGCAGGACGGATGCTAAAAGAAGGACAACCTTATAGTTGCTGCAGACACAAGCTCATCATTCTTCTCCAGAATGAAAGTACAGAATGTAGTGTAGTTTAGCCTTTTAAGATTCGACCTGGGAAAACAATCAATAAATTGCCAGCAGTTAAATACTCTTAACTTAAATTGAAGGTAAGAAGATCACCATGACAGAACAATATGAATAAATTTCATAATAACTGCCAACTGATTAAACAAGAATACAAGAAGAATGGAGCTGAAGTTCCAAATGCAAAATCATAATACAAAAGGTAATGAGGCTTCACAAAGTTTAAATGAACATTAAACATGCATTCATCACTTCAAGAGCACAGCACTCTGATAGAAAACAGTGACAGTTTACACAGAAATGGAAGATAAATTCCAGTAGTGGTGTCCCAAGAATAGTGATCTTTCCCACCAACACAAAAAATATAACACGTGTAGGTTTCGATAAACCAAACACGCAATAAACTACACAGAACGATCTTCTCCAGAAATTACAAAAGAATCCTGACCATAACTTACCCACCAATTATTGGGAAAAACACACCATTTCTTTTTATTATTTTGGAAAAAGAAAGAACAAATAATAACAGGTCCACAAATACAAAAAGAAACAAAATCAAAAGATCTTACATACCCACAACTGTAGCAGACATTACGGATGATATTGATGCCACTTCTTTCATCAATGATTGGTGTAAAGCATTCATCAATGATCGAGAGTGCAATGGCTAACTTAGAGTTGCTTTCAACCTTCAATGGATCAGCGGTACCAGATAAATCTTGACGACGAAGAATGGTCCAGGAATACCCGTCTTTAAGCTCATGTTTGACACCCAGAAGCTTCTGTAGGTTCTCAAAAAGCTGTTAAACAGGAGAAATAAAGTCAGTTGACTGAAAAAGGTATACTTAGCCGTTAAAGCACAAATGTTAGCTTTATGCACATAGGTTTCGCAAATTCAAAGTTGAAGGGGGAAGAAATATAAACCTGTCGATCATTAAAAACCATGAGCATTTCAACATATCTCTTGACATAATAATATTGGAAGAAGGAATACAACACATAAGCCCTTTCAAAATGGCCAGTAAGAATTTTTGAAAGGTGAATTTGCCACTTTGCAGTAACCAGTCCCAACATGCAACGACAACTAAAAGATCCCGGGAAATATCCGATCGAACATCAGAAGCATAAAACTCGAAAAACTGTAGTCAGAAACAGTTAGTTATGATTGACTTTGACAATGGTGGAAGTAATCTTCAAAAATTCCTAAAACTCCAACTACTTCAAACAAGTTATTACTTCTGCAGTTTGGCAACATTTAATGAATATGCAATTTAACATCAAATTCTTCATCTACTGGTATTCTCAGATAAAACCTAAACATCTTTAGATTGAAGCATGGAAGACAAGATTACATATATACATATATATTGGCAAACTCAACTATAATTTAAATGCTAAAAATCCTTCCAGATGAAAGCAATATATAAGAGCTCTTCGTTTCAGAACTACTTCTGGATGAAAACTATCCAATAGCATAATAAAGACACCCCGATTGCATTTATACTTAAAATGAATACCAAAAGTTCCATCAGTGAAGGTTTTTCCTAAATTCCACTTTCCTTTTCTTTTCTTTTCTTTTTTTTTTTCTTTTTGTGTTTAGGATATGCTCGACACGAACTAGATTGCTGGTACCTGAACAAATAGCAAAAGTGACTGAACTTTTCAAGATTACACGTCACCACACAAGAATTAAATTGCAGGCTTCTATACTAACAAAATTCTGTCTTGTAAAATTTGATTTCGCATGTATAGACGCATTTAAATCCGCAAAGCTATAACCACTATCCTTCCATAGTAACAGAACAGCCTATCGTTCCCTATTAGATTTTGTAACTGTAGGAAGAGAGAAATCAGCCAAGAGTATATTTTATTAGTATAACTGAAAGAAGAGAGAATAATCTAGCCAAAACATTGGGTAGAAGATTCCAAAAATAAATTTGTTTCATGTGAATGTCAATTTTGAATCCATAGCACCCAAACAGCGGAGTAGATTGAATATCTCCCTATCACCATGCATTAAATTGGGACATTAACCACCCTTTTGACACTTCCCTCATTAGCATGTAATGCAGAAAAGGAAGGACAGCTTTTCAGTTACCAAGAAAAAAACCACGCACCTTAACCAATAAGCTAAGGCAATTCAACAAAGGATTGCATAACTAGATAAATGCTCATAAAATAGACAAAAACATAAAGATATACAAAGAACCAATAAGCAAACGCAATTCAATAAAGGATTGCATAACTAGATATGCATCTTAACCTAGGTTAATTACTGACTTAAACAGTAAATGGTGACACTTTTTTGGACCAATATGTGAACTCTTACTACTGGCTTGATTCAACAATATAGAGCTACTCCGAGAAAACAGCAAGAAGTACAGTCAAAATACCTTCTGACATCCACTCCCACAAAACTGAAAGACTTCTGTATTGATGTTTGCACCTTCTTTCCTCAGCGCACAGCTCACATGGACTGTAAAGGAAAGATACTTAAACAGGTTAGAATTCATATGATGACGAAGGAAAGTGCCAGATATATAGACCCTGTCCAGAAAATTCAAGAATGGAAAATCTGCTTACATTTCTCTTCACATAAAAGGCAAGTAATGTATCCAAAGTAATCTGGATCGGGAACTTTGTTTCCAGAGAAATTTGGCCCCAGAACTTTATTTCCCAGAGAGTTTTCCCAGCAAACCATCCCGCAAAACTTGCATGAACAGTAGATGCAATGCCAATCTCCAGTTGGGAGTTTCTGCAAAAGAAGCAAGCAACTTGTAGTGGCTTAACTTTGCATGAGAGGTAGGAAAGCAGGCACACAGAGACAGACAAGTGAATCAAATACACATTCACTTCAGTTTCAGGCTATGGATAGAATTACAAACTTATGAGCAAACAAATGCCTGATAGCGAGCTAGGAAGAAAATAAATGCCCAATTTAGCTAATTACAACACTATAGATGAGTTACAAAATTATGAGCAAAGACCCTTAAAGATTGACAACAAATACAATTATTTACTGGGTGATAGAAATAAAGCTAACCTATAAACATATAAAATGTAAGATAGAGCAATAATATCAACACAACTACTGGATTGTAAAGATCTTTCTAAACCATTAGCAGTTCAGCTTCCATCATATCCTAAGAGCAAAAAGTGTAAACTCTTAACACATCATAAATTGACAGAACAATACTTGGGGAATAGAAGCGGAAAGCTGGAAGAAAAACCCACATACTAAACTAAGACAAAAATGAATAACTAAGGAAGACAGTACTTGAATCTGCAAGCAGCTTTGATGAAACGTGGACGGGCAGCCATCACAGCATATCAAATTACCACCATCGTTGCAAAAGTTGCATGTATCATCAGCAGGATCATTCTCAAGATTCACAAAATTGAAACCAATATTATGAATCTCTTCCACTCTCTTCCAAGCTTTTGTCAAGCATTGCAGTAGGGACTGTCCTGTCTCCAAACATATATTTTGGAGAGGCTGGCCAAGGGCACTACCCCTATGATGATATTCAAAGTCAGCAAGGGACAATACTTTGCCACAACACTCGCAGCATATACCCACCCTAGTAATCTTCCCCTTAGGTGTCGTATCGGTCCTTTTGCGGTTGATACACTGGACTCTGTCACCAAGGGAAATAGTTCCCATGTCCAGCAACCACCCAAGAAGGGTGCGTCCCCCTTCCGGTTCTTCATTTCTCGTGCATGCCTTTGAATTTTCTTGCTCGCACTGCTCTGATACTCGATGAGACCCAGAATTTTCTCGTGCACTGCTCTCACCTCCATTTTTATTCCTACCTGGCATGCGGCCCTTCTTAGACTTCTTTCCGTCCTTGGTTATCCTAAAAAGCTTGCTGATTCTATCAGCAGCAATGGGACGGAAAGCAGATTTCTCTTTCTCATCTGCAGTGTTACCTTCAATCTTTGCTTTAAGCTTTTGGTATGCCAAGGTGACCGACCAGTGAGTTCTTCCCTGGCCATCAACATAGACGGCATCAAGGTAGTCTTTCCCGTTCCTAGGGCGATAGTCAATGGTCCAACCTGCTTTTTTAAGAATATCAACGATTTCCTCTTTCAGGAGCTGTTTTTCTTTTTTAGGTTTCGGGCTGGTTTCGTTCTTATCAACGTTACTGTGCTTATGTGTGATGTTGAGTAAAGCAGATTTAACCTTTCTCTTCCGTAGTTTCACTAATTTATGACCCTTCACCACATTTCCTCCAGGTAAGGTAACTTCTTTGTGGACCACCAACTTAGTTTTATTTCTTAAACTCGCCTTGGAGCTCCAATTTTTTCCATGCAGTTTGGGGGGCCTTCCACGACCACGTTTGGCTGCAGGAGGCCTTCCACGACCGCGTTTGACAGCAGAACTTGCCCTTTCCTCAATTTCCATATCCAGGTTTCCACTGGCAGACACCTCAAGTTCCACCTGGGGATTTGTGTCTATAACATTTCTCTCTTCTCCTGCACAAACCTCCAGCTCAGCGGCATGAGCTTCCCTTGTCCTTGACCTCAGGACCCTGCCGACAATTTGAGGTATACGATCAGAAGCTAATCTTTTCGTCTTACCAGTATCCAAATTGTCGTTGTTCCCTCCAGAAGCCACTAGTACCTTCCTCTTCCTTCCCCTTCTCCCCTTGCTGGCTATCTGCCTGCTTTCATCAGTTTTCCCTGTAGGGTCACCAGCCACATCGCCACCCACATCAGCCGTATGAGCACGCATTTCATGCTTACTACCATCCTCCTCAACTTGTGCAGCTTTGACAATCTTCTCGGCAAGGGAAACTCTCTCTACACTCTGGACACTTGATAGTTCACAGCCAGCCATTTTTCTTTCCCTTCCTGGTCGACCTTTTCCAGTAGCTTCATCCTTTATTTTAACACCATTAATAGCATGCAAAGCACCAACCCGATCAGCATTCTTATTGTCCTTCAATGGTCTAATCTTCGTCAGTCCCTTGTTGACTGAAACTGGATTTTGCACAGGTAAAGCACACACAAAAGCTTCTACCGCATCCTGACCATGCTCCTCATTGCCCACCTCCTTGATGGAAGTTCCCTTCAAACCCCCAGCATAGGATTTTTCACTGCTGACAACCTTTCTCTTCCTCCCCCGTTGACCTTTTCCAGTTGCTTCACTTTTCCTTTTGACACCACTAATAGCATTCACACAGGGAACATCAACAGGTGCAGCATCTCTACGGCCCTCCAGGGGTGTAGATTCACTCGAGCCCTTTTGGACTGAACGCTCGGCGGCACATCCATTATTGCCCTCGAATCTCCCAGGAATTTCACCATCAAGCCGGCTAAAATCCCCTCCATTGTCTCCCCTTGTCACTTCTGCTCCTACATCAACAGCATTGGAAGGAATGGCCAAATCCAACTCAGAGCCAACCTTTTCTGCGGCTGAACAGTTAGAAGAACGAGGAGGTGACTTGGAAGAAGATCCATCATCCTCAACAGGGACTTCGTTCAAATTAAACATCCCTTTAAGCTTGTTTGCACATGATCGCAAACCCTCTCTCATCTTAACAAGAATCCTATAAATACGCCGCCAACATCACAAGTCAAAAATCAAAAGGGTTTCTTCATCCCGAAAAAAAAAAAAAACACACACACACACAAGGAAAACTAGAAAGGGGGCGTAAAGAGCAAATCACCTGTCAGTAATCGATGGCACGGAATCTTTCTGTGAAACTGAACTGGAAACTGAAACCCAGAAGAAAAACAGATTAACTTTATAAACACAAGAAATAAACGCATCAAAAATCATGAAATGTACAATGAAAAATCCTCACAAACCCACCGCAAAAATAAACAATTACTTAAAAAAATAATAATAATAATAACATCAATGCAGAACCCAAAAAAAAACGCGCACATAAAAAAAAATTTTAAAAAAAAAAACAACTTTACCATAAAACCCAAGCGGTGCCAACAACAATCAGCCGAAACTGACATCCCATCACCAACCCTTTGTCCATTTTCCCCCAATTTAACCATTCATCATTCAAAAATTGAAACTTTTTAGACAACGGTTTCAGTCGATTTTTTCGGACAAGTGGAGAAAATAAAGGGGGGTTTTGGGTTTTGGGCAATATAAGAACTGGAGAAAGGAAAGAAAAATGGTGTTCGAGGAGTACAAGGATTTTTTTGGTTTTTAGTCCCTCAGTATTTGTGTTTGTTTTTTTTATTTTCCGGGTTCAGGGGGGGAAGCAAGAGGTGTGAATTTACGTTACAGTACATAAAGTGGTTTGTCCATTAGCGCCTAATTTCGGGACACATTGGGTGAAATTCGAGGTTGGGGATTACTGGGTGATTTCGTCATTTAACGTTAGAATGTTCGGGGACTAGAGATAGGAATTTCCCTCCATAAAATTGAAATCAAAAAGATTTAAAGAATAGGAAAAATAGAGTAAAGGAGTTGACTTCTTTTTTTTTTGTTTTAATTATTTGACTGGATTTTCTCGTGCTGTATTTTTTTCTTATATATTACTGGAAATTCCGACCACATTCTTTTAAATTCAGGCAAACAAGAAACACAGCTTAAACAGCAGTTTCAACAACTCGTAATAATAATCATAGATAGATTAACGGTGGAAAAAAAAAAGAAAATCTAGTGTGCGAAATAAATTTATAATCTAACAACCATTCAATACTCAATAACTATTACTCTCTTGGTAGCAAATTTAATCACATTTAATTATGCAATTTAAGCCCTGATTCTGCAATCGTTAAGAAGTCGCCAAACAATAAAAATAAACCCTGATTTTTTATAAAAAAAAAAAGTTTTGAGCTGATAAAAGAATTTGTATAACATGGTATAAATACTCTTTTTTAATCAGAATGAAATCTAAGAATTTCCTGAAACAAAAAAAAAAAAAACAAAAGCAAAACCAAATACTAAATTGTTTTGGAACCAGCTGACGCCAAAAAAGAAAGGGGAAAAGCTATTTGTAGTTCTTAATATTTTCAGTTTATTATGAGAAAACATGTTCAGATATATATAAGTCATCACATAAGAATTAACAGAAAAAAAAAAAATTTATGCACTTTGATCGAAACACACACGACCAGCTTTTCCAAATAGTGTTTGTGATTGAAATTGAAATGTTTTTAAAAAAAACACGAATTACTAACAAAAACAAAATTTGCTCTACCATAAAAATACAGATCAAATACACCATGCAATCGACATCAACTTACTCAGCATATTCCCAATCAAATTAGGGTCTCGTGGCCAGATCCAGTAGATCTAACAGTTTATTTCTTGCCCTGATTGGAAGTTAACCAATAATTGTTAGATTTAACCCCAACAAAAAAACTTTAGATATTTTACAAGCATACAATTAATTATTGATTTATTGAATAATTATTAATAATTAATATGGATCCAATATATATAGCCTTAATTAATTAGTGATCCAAATTGATAAGATATGCATAAGGATCTAAAGCAAGACGGGAAAATTAAAATTCATTACTTGAAAGTCTCTTTTATAGTACCTGTCACAAGATCAATGAGAAATGATCGATTGAATGGTTTGGGAATGAAACAAATGACAGTAAAAATTACCTGATTTTGTAAAAGATTTTGCACAAGACCTAGAACAAGCTTTTGTGATGAACTCACTCAGCTCTGACTCCTCCACTGAAATCCACTATAGTACTGAACTAATTCAGAAATGTTCTTCAACAACAACCAAAAAAAAAAAAAAAGCTTTCAGAAATGTGTGAAGAAGGATAAAGGCATTGGGGCTGGATTATATAGAGGTGCGCAGTTTTCAGTTTCCAGGGTATATTATGTAATAAATATATTTATTTATTTCTTCTTTTAGAGATTCATGCAATCTGTAAGATGACAATATGTAAGAAAATAAAGAAATTGCCAAGTGTCTATAGCATTGACAATTGTAAGAGGGTCACCAGGTATATTATAATTTTATTAATTAATAGAATTTTAATTAATTCTTATATCATGGTTTTAATTCATTACTACATAATTATAAATTTAAAACTTAAGTACTCGAACAGAAAAAGAAAATATGTCCATCCAGAAAATATAATGAACTTGATATGTTTATTGTAATGACTAAATATGTCCATCCAGAAAAAGAAATCTCAATGTACAACAATAATTTTTTTTTTCTTAAAAAGTAATCATTCTTAATTGTTTGAACAGTACTGCACACATTTGATACTGAAAACCGTAACGTTCGCTTGCAGTTGTCAAATAGCATGAGTTCATTCACCGATAACTGAAAAACCACGGTCACATGTAACATCAAGGCCTCACAAGAAAAACCTGATAAAAGTCCGTTCTAGAAAATGATTCACGTTGAAATTTTAATTTAAATATCAAAACTCAACTTGAACTATTTTCTTCTAATAGAAAGAGTATTATAAAAGGAACGTTATGTTTAATTAAAACATATTTAGACAATGTAAAAGGATTTCCGGTATGATAAAACTTTGATAAAAAGTCTAGGAAAACCTAAATATAATTCACAATAACATATCCAACCACAACCAAGATAAGGAATATGGCATCATCGATCCAAAATATAGAACATAACGAACATCTATTGATCTTGAACTTTAAGGCATGATACAAATGTGACATGCCCTTTTCACGATGTTCGCAACGTTACCAGGTGAAAAAGTTTTGATGATTAATACTGCCTAAATAATGACAATTGATATCCCTCTTTTTTAAATGTAATCCATCACCACGGTATGGACTACGAGGAGGAATCACTATGCAAATTGAAAGAAATGTGGATATATATGAAATTAAGGAGTGTAAAAAATGATTTTTTAGATTTGAACCTAGATTGTTTTATGCTAGTCCATATATGATTCACTTGTCCCTTGTAACAGCTTAAATTTAGTCATTTGTGAATGGCTAATTCTTGTAATAAATGTACTGAAGAATGATGAAAAAATACCGTTACATTCCTGAAAATTTATTCTAGGAGTTGCATATCCTCCTTTTGTAGGTGTATGTATGAGCAGGTTTTATGGTTTTATTAACAAAAAATTATGAAAATTTCATCAAAGAATTTATGTTAAAAAAAGCTTGAAAAAAACTCAATTTAATATTTAACATTTTTTATATATATAAATAACTCCCTTGCATTATTCGACCAACTCACTCAGCTATGACCTCCCCAGAAAAACTAGTTAATGGAGTTATTATTCTTCACTTGAGCGCCTAGATTAAAAAAATAGATATGTTAATTAGTTTATTATTCCCAAATTATGATGATAAAACTTTTGCTAAAAATCAACAAGCACTTAGTTTAAATGGTAAAAGTATTGGGGCAGTTTAACTATGACATGGGATAAACCCGAACATGGCATGCAGTAGTGATTAAAATATTTATTGGGAGAGTTTTGCCTCCTAAAAAGGACCTAACAGACTCAAATATTAGTCAGAATAATGACATCAGACATCGGGTACATAATGTACTAACAAAAAAAACTTTTGCTAAAACTCTTGCATGGGACTAGTTGAGTGGCTTCAAATAAATAAAAGCTTAAGTAATACTCCTTCTGACTCCGCCCCAATATGATTGTCTAATTTTATTTTTTACTTTTAGTATAAAATTACAGATTATACTAAAACAGAAATTTAAACAGGACAACAATTTTACCACATAGGGAGTAAATATTTACTAAGTATCTTTTTTGGTGAAAAGGTTAATATATTAACTTTTCCAAACTATGCCAACATTACATATCCCCTATTCCTTCTATTACATCAATCTCAGATCTTTTTGTCCAACAATCTATACATCAATACCAATTCCCGCTAGATACATTCTTTCACTATGTCTATATTTCCTATATCATTCTTGGACCCCCCCATGTCACTTCCTGTTTGATCTTTTCTAACAGCACATTCCCCTGCACAATCTGTTCTCCATTTATTACTGGATTTCTCATTAACCACACATGATATACTACAGCCGTCATAGCAGCATACAATGTTCTCTGTTTACATTTGCTTTGATGCTAAATTCTAAGCATTCTGGACTTCTACAGACTGATCTTTACCGGTATTTTACTGCACTTCAACCAATTTCTCATCATTTCCAGAACCTATAAAGAATATGACACATTAAAAATAGATGTTCCAAACTTTCCTCCTCCTGCTTACAGAGTACACACACCAAAGGTTGTTGGATGATTCCAAGCTTTAGCAATCTATCAGAAGTCCATAATCTCCCCTTCATAGCAAGCCACAGTATGAAACTGTGTTTTGGAACATTATACTTGTTCCAGATGAGTGTATACTTCTTCATTCTTTGATGTTTTCCTCGAATCCAGGCATAAGCTAATTTTGTTCAGTACACACCATTCTTTGTTTCAGTCCATTTATCATCCTTAACACATTCGATCAGAGTATCATTCAGTCTCATAAGCTTCTTCCAGTACCAGCAGGCACTTTGAGGAGCTTTATACGTTTTTAGACTTTGTCCCTTAAGGTAGAACTCCTGGAATAACAAAGATGGTGGTCCAGTAAGTGTGAAGGGATAGAAGAATAGAGTTAACTAACACTACTCTTCCAGCATAGGAGATGTGCATGGTAGTAAGTCCACATAATCATTGTGCAGCGGGAGCTTGGAACGTTGTCTTATATGCTGATATAGTAATGCAAATTAAATCCGTTTATATACAAGCCCCCTCTTCCTTTCAGACGGAAGCTATGACGTGTCTCCAGAACTTGATATAGTATTTCTTAGTATTACAATGACTTAACATGTCCATCCATAGAAAGAAAATCTCAATGTATATCAATATTATTTTTTTCCTAAAAAGTAATCATTGTTAATTGTTTCAATAGCATCAAACATATATATTTGATACTAAAAGCCATGTTCTCTTGCAATTGTCAAATAGGATGATTTCATTTACCAAAAACTGATAAACCACTCTCACATGTAACATAAGGACTCACATGAAAAAACTGACAGTGCGA